TAGCACATTATTATTGAAATTCTTCATCTTCTGACTCCTGGAGTCAAATCAATATAAAATCTTAGCTTCAATATAAAATCTTAGCTTCAATCAACTTTTAAAGCTAACTAGGTTCAAAAATCCGACTTTTACAACTCCTGGAGCCATTTTACTTATTTCTTTTGCCTATTTCGGCTAAAGGAAATCAAAAAAAAAATTTACGAAATATTGACTCTTTAGAGTCTCTGATTAAAATGCTCTTCTATGCGAGCAATCAAAATTCGTCGCTTCTAACATTACTATTACTACCGAAAAGGTCATCTGAATGTCGATCAACATTGGCCATTGAACTATAGTACTCTACATATATGTCAATATTCTGTTTAATATTCTTTTTCTCGAACTCCACCAAGTTTAAATTCATTCTCAGTGAATTGGAATCTCCAGTTTATACGTCCGGAGTCCCGAACCTGTGGGTTGTTTTTCATTTCTTCATGCTGTTTTTTCATACGAATCAATATTCTTTTAATAACTTTTGCTTCTGCTTTCAAATCTCTCATAAATCGATAAAAATCATGGTGTAAACAAATCGTCCATATACAAGTATTTTTTACTCCCTTAATCAAATCATAGCCCTTATTGTATTTCTTCAATCTATTACTGTTATCAAACGCATATTTTGCTCTTGCTTCAGTTCCTAGATCAGGAGTAAGGCTATAATAATAGTCCAAATACTCCTCATCAAACTGTTCTTTAGCATATTGCAATATAAAACATGTTTCGTCATAGCACTCCAAGGCTTTAAGACAATCACTATTGCCCGTCCTATGACCTATTGTTAAATATGCCTGAAACAGCGTTCTCCCAACCGGGTCTACTAAGAGTTTAAAATCATTCGCCCTTTCAATTTCTTCCCTACATAACCGTGATACTCTACTAATAATATTTCCAATATATAGTCCATAGCATAATTTTTATTTCAACTCCGTGAAAAAACTTTTCCTGCGCAAATCCTCCATCAATCGCTCGTAGTTTCTTTCATAGGTTTCCCCCTTGAACAAACTGTATTTTTCCATTCCTGGTAGAAAGAAAAAACAAGATTAGTCCAAGTGAAAGTGAACGAACGACAGATGGCGACAGCATCAGTCTCTATTTTTACTATGATCTGCCCTTGCTTTTTTCAGCATATTTTTATGGAGTTTAACTTTCTTTCCTCGCCTTAGTATTTCTACGTATGCATCCGAAGTATCTATAACTTTATAAGGACCATCATAAACATTGTCAAATTTATGATTTTTAGTCTGTTTTCTAACCAAAACCAAATCGTCTACTTTAATGTCTAACTCGGATGTTTTTTCATCATAATATTTCTTGTTTTGTAATTTCCTATTATGTAAATGTTCTTTTGCCAATTCTAAAGCTTTCGCTATATTATTTCTCGTTGAACTTGCCAAATTATCGTAATTATAGTTTAATTTTTCTTTCGTTAAATGATTCGGTATTTGCACATTAAAACCATGTGTGCACCAAATAGTGCGGTGTATAGCCAGTTGCAGAATGAACCGTGTTATTATACGCAAATGTGGCATATTTAAGTAAATCATCCCAATCGTCTTTAGTTTTTGACGTATATGCTCGCAAAAATGACGAAATCCAACGATGACTACGTTCAATAACTCCATTACTCTGAGCATGGTACGGTGTAGTAAATATTTTTTAAATTGAAAATAACTTCGTAAGTTCTCTAATCACCATTGAAGTAAAACTAGTCGCATTATCTGATATCAATCGCGATGGGAAATTATATCGACATATTATATGTTCCAGCAAACAATTAGCAGCCGTTAAAGCCGAACAATCCACTGTGGGGGTACAAACTAACACCTTAGTGAGGTCACACATGTTAGTAAAAATGTATCTATTACCCTTTGCACTGGGGGTAATGGGTCCCACAAAATCAATAAAGGTATGGTCGAACAAAGCTTCGCCAAGACTCGATATTTGCATTGGAACCCTTCTATTAGTTGTAACTTTGATTTTCTCACAAACTGGACACTTCCTGACGTATTCTTTTATATCCTCGTTCATTGATTTCCAACGAAACATTTTCGAAAGAGTTGTAATCATTCTGTTGGCCCCATTATGAGCCCCTAGAATACTTGTATGATATAACTTCAATATATAGTCAATATCTTCCTGTTCCGTTAACTCAACGATTTTATTCAAATAAAATGTTACCGAAATATTTTCGTTTGCAAAAATTTCCCCAAATAGATTTTTGAAAAAGAAATAATGTCTAATATTGTCGTAATCTATATTTATTGCGATATTCTCCGCACCTTTTCTTAAACATGTAGCCAAAATGGCCTCTATGCATTCCCTCGTTTTTCCCCTATTCTGGGCATTTGCAAATTGATTAGAAATCATTATCCCATAATAATATTGTGCAAACTTCCGAAATTCATCTATAAATGGAATCGAACCATATCTATGCATAATTTTATCGCGCAATGTATTATTTTCCGTCGGTATCAAATGAAAAATTAGATCATAATTTCTTTTTCGAAGAATCGTTCCATCTTTTTCCTCTACGATATTAACCGGTCTTATCAACGGTTCTTTTTCTGTTTTGTCTCTAGTAACTGCAAAACTACCCTTTTCTTGTTCTATTATCAACAATTCTTCTATTGAAAGTGGTTCTATCCTGGATAGAGCATCAGCTACATGATTCTGAGCTCCAGGACGATATAATATTTTAAAATTATAATCCATCAAATCTAGCCTGTGTCTAAATAATCTACTACCGCAATCCTTCATATTAAACAGATAAACCAACGCTTTATGGTCAGTGATCAATACAAAAAATCTACCATACAAATAAACCCTGAAAGCCTTAATTGCTTCCACTATAGCTAACAATTCTTTTTCTATTGTAGAATATCGTTTTTGTGCCTCATTTAAAGTCTTACTAAAGAAATAGATCGGTCTATCATGAGGTAGTTCACCCTGTGATAGCATTCCACCGATTGCTACATTGCTAGCATCGGTTGTTACATAAAATAAATCATCAAAATTTGGAAAAGATAAAATAACCTCTTCCGCTAATGCTTTTTTAAGTAGATCAAATGATTTCTGCGTCGTTTCAGTCCAAATAAATGGCTGTTCCTTTTTTAATAACAAAGTCAAAGGCTTTGAAACTTTCGAAAAATTACAAACATATCGTCTGAAGTAATTACACAATCCCAAAAATGATTGTATTTTCTTAACTGTCGTGGGTCTAGGATAATTTTTTATTACTTCAATTTTCTTGGGATTCGCCTTCATCCCGTCTTTTGAAATAATATGACCCAAATATTCAAATCGCTTCGCATAAAAAATACACTTCGCTATTTTCAATTGAAGGTTATGTTGTCTTAATGCCTGCATAACTTGCCAAATTATGCTATTATGTTGATTCTCATCTTTAGCATATACTATCACATCATCTAAATAAACATATACTCCTTTTCCTATTAAATCTCTTAATATTGTATTGATTGCCCTTTGCCACGTTAGAGGCGCTGACGCCAATCCCATAGGCATCCGCACCCATCTGTACTTAAAATCACCAGCCGTAAAAGCCGTACAGACACGTGAGGCTTCATCTAACACTATCTGATGAAATGCTCCCTTGATGTCAAGCGTGGTAAAGTACTCACAACCGCTTAGACCATTCAAAATATCATCAATCAGGGGAATTGGGAAATTGTGTATTTCTGTTACTTGATTCAACTTCTTATAATCTACTACAAATCTATAATCTGATTTACCACCAACGTCGTCTTTTTTCCCGACAATAAGCGCTGGGGAATTATAATTCGAATGGCATTTCTCAATTATGCCCTGTCTTTCATATTCAAACACAATCTCTCTCAAAACTTCCTGATGATGCTGTGGAATACGGTATTGTCTGACATTTACCACTCCTGCACCTGGTATTAATTTGATATGATGTTTAATCACATCAGTTGACCTTAGCATATCACCATCGAGATAAAATTGGAATTGGAATTCTTCACATATTTTTCCGATGAATGCTTTTTCCTTCTCTGAGCAATTTTTCAAATTTAACTTGTTAAAAATAACTTCATTTCTGAGAAATTCGACTTCATTTCGTTGCTCAAAAATATTCGTATTCGCAACTATCGTTTCGTTCTCATCAAAAAATGAATTGACTTTATATGATTCATATCTATTGAATTCGTCTCTATAAAAATCTACTGCTTCATGGTACTCCTTACAAGAGTGAACATCTTTTTTAGTCTGAAAACATATTTCTGCCATTGTTTTGGCTTCGGTTTCTGAATCAATATTCTGATTTTTCTGTTTTTTACTTTTTCCGACTTGTTTTCCTACTACGATCCTATCTTCTTTATCAAAATTATACCCATGTGTTAAAAATTCTATCGTATTTTGATCAATTTCATGGGTTTCCATTTTCCTAGCTCCCTCTTGCGGAGGCTTTTTAATATAAAATTTCATTTTCATTCTATTTAAATCAATCGTAGCTCGGTAAGTCGATGCAAGTTCAAATCCGAAATATCCATCTACAGGACCTGCATATTTCCTGTCCACTAAATGAAATGCCGATTCTAATAAATGTCCACCAATATCAAGAGTACCGTGTACTAAACCCCTTGTTTTAATAGTCGTTTCTCTCCCCACTATTCCGTATAAATTCACTATATAATTCAAAATCTGCGTATTTTCTGAGATAACATCACTTGCTAATAAGGTTATTGATGCCCCTGTATCAATTAACAGGGTAATAGGCCTATCTCGTAAACTTGTCTTCAAAGTTATGTATGCTGCTCCATCTACAATTTTTATATCATGCTCAACCTCAATTGATTCAACATTCTCGCCTTTTTGCTCATTTTGTATATTCTGTTGGAAACCCCTCAAAATATTCAGGATTTCATTACTATTTTTCGAAGTTTGAAAATTTACTGTCATCGGAATTCCGGATGGAACGGATTGGCCTAATAACTGCCCCATCCTCTCTTGTTTTCCGCTCTTGCGTTGTTATTTGTGGCAAATGCCGGAATTTCACCAGCTCCGAAATGTCCCGCTTGATTATTGTCCTCAGTCAATTCTTGACTGTTTTCTGGATTATAGACATTCGTAAAGTGACTATTCCGTTGAAATGGCCTTTGATTTTGTGTTTGATTCCGATTTTGCAAATTTTGAGGATTACCGCGGTTATTATTTTGATTATTATTATTATTGGAATTTCCGTCATTAAAACCATTATTATTGTTATTATTCCAATTTCCGTTATTTCCGCCATTGTTTCTATTATTATTCCAATTCCCGCCATTATTATTTCGATTAAACCAGTTTCCGCCATTATTTCCGCTATTATTCCAAATTCCACCATTTTTGTTCCGATTAAACCAATTCCCGCCGTTATTTCCGTTATTATTCCAATTTCTACCATTATTCCAATTTCTACTGTTATTCCAGTTTCCGTTGTTATTCCAGTTTCCGCTGTTATTCCAGTTTCCGCTGTTATTATTTCGATTGAACCAATTTCCGTTATCATTGCGGTTTCCAAAGTTATTTGGATTCCGCTGATTATTCCGGAAATTATTTGAATTATTTTGGTTCCCGAACGAACGCAACGCCGAAATGAGACCGTTTAAACCGTCTCCACTATTATTCCGGCGTCTGCACTCATTTTCCCTATGACCGTTCATTCTACAGAACCTACAATACAATTCATTCCGAGGAATTTCCGCTAACGTATCATTTTCCGTTTCAATAGTAACAGGTCGGCTGAAAAGTTTATAAGGTTGACGTCTAGATGGCGCCTCTTCCAAAAATCTACTTAATTATCATAAAGCACCATCCTTCAAATGATTCC